ACACTGAGCTTCGATTAATGATGAGGTAATGACTAATCAACCTGTGCTATCCTGACCAGCTAGCAGTTGTTGAACACCAGGATAAAATGTTCTTTATCATGTTGCATCAGTAAAAGGAGTGAATGACCGAATGTGCAACAAGCATCCCAAAATGCATAAACACAAGACACATTTCCAAATATCACAAACCCCGCTTATTAAACCCTTCCCAGGCAATTGAATTCACAAAAAACTAGGCACCCACCAGTCAAAAGATCAAAGTTGAAAGCACAACTATGTCATATAATTGAAAGGTGCAAGCTTTCAAACAGGCAACTGACTACACACACAGCACATGATGAATAATCGTCAGTATAATTAGAGATGGACTGATCAAACCCATTTACTGGTAAAATTTCAAGATCGGTTTCACCCACTGACAAGGTCAAATATGGATGGCCGGAAAACCTTATGCCAAAATCTCATTTCAAAGCAGCTGATATGAAAAGTGATTCACCAAATTAAACAAATGACGACCCAGAAACAGATATCAAATATTAAGGACATAGAAGAACAAAAAACCGATAAGAAAGTAAGAATCTTTGGGTTTGTTAGGAAAGGTATAAGGGCTTCATACATACCCTTGCCTTTATATTTTCAGCTCCGTGGATTAAACATAACAAGCACAGAAAGAACAAAACAAAGCTGAAAACCCATAAACCAGATATGAAGTCTCTCAAATCCAGTCTTATCAGCAACCGATCGATTGAAACCACAAAGTAAGGAATAAATCTACAAACCATACATACCCAGATGAAGAAACCGATCTATGTAAAGAACATGGAGCAGAAAATCAAAGAAGAAGCCCGGAGATTCCGGGTAGATGATGAAAAGACATCTCTTTTCTTTATTTCTCTGGAGAAAAATAAATAGGTGAGAAAACAAAACAAAACAAAACCCACTGAGAGCAATGGGGTTGAGAGAAAGGGAGAGGCTTTGGCCCTATGGGTGGATGAAATGAAATGTAGAAAGAGAAAAGGAGAAGGAAAGAGAGATTAAAGAGGACGGTAATCTTTAATTTACGAAATAACCCAAAGAGAGAGAGAGAGAGAGAAGCAAGGAGAGTAATGGTCATACAGAGCAGTTTCCTAACAAAGTAATGAATAAACATAAAAAATTTAAAATTTAAAATTCAAAATAAAATAAAATAAAAACGAACAACATCACCTACTAGGTGTTGTGTTGTGGGGAGGGTTTCAAAAGGTGCGATATGTTGGGGACTTGGGGTTGGGGGGCCGCTTACCAAATGGCTCACGCAGGTTGTCCTGATTTCTTTCTTTTTTGGTGTTGAACTTTGAAAGCTTAAAACTTTGGGTTTTTAGTTTTGGTTTAGTTTTAGTTTGAGTTATGCTCTCTCTCTCTCTCTCTCTCTCTCTAAAACCCAACAAATAAAAAGACCAATTGGCGTCCCATTTGCAGCCCCACAACTTGCTCTTTCACGCCAAGCACCTGTTGCCCTCTCATATAAATATTATCACACACCCTCTCACGCCTCACCATCACATTTTCACATGCCCTGCTCTGCTGCTGGCAGCTGCTGCTTCCCCCTTTTCCCTTTGCATTTTTCTTGAGGAGCCCTTTCTGACTTTGTGAGAGGAATTTGAGCTGTGTTTGAGTTGCCCCACACGAAATTTTAGTTATTTTTTCTCCTTAATTTTTTTTAAAAAAAATACTTGCATGAAGAAAAAAATAGTGAATTCGTATGAGCACACGTGGCATGCTATGATATCGTGGGTCCCAACTCCTTTGGATGACTTTGGATTATGCTCACCTTCCTAAAGATCTGGCTTGGTGTGCTTTTATATAGGACTAAAAAAAAATTGACCAACTATTCTCGGCACTCTGTTTCCCATTTACATGGTTGGAAGATTTTTTCAAACAAAAACCCCAAAATCAATTATCTTTTGGGTAAGAAGCAATAATAGTGGGATCCCAAAACAGAATTTTACCCATATGGGTCATTTTTTTATAATTATTCTGTCGGTACAATTTTAGTGCCAAATGGGTATGGTTGTTCTTGATGCCTCGATCATTTTGGAGACAGCAAGAGCTTTAAATTAACATTAAAAAAATTTCCTTTTTGTCTTTAAGAGACAATAGGAGGAGGAGAGGAGATGAGTATTAAAAAGAGGTGTGAATGGAAGAAAGACCTTCTAATGCGTGTATGTGTCCCTATTAACAAGTATCCAAGCAGGTTCTCTTCTTCTCCAACTTGTTTTTATAAATGGCCTTGCCTACCGTTCATATCTCAATCGTGGGCCTCTTTATTTTACGTTTGTTTTGGTCTTATTTGTGCTTTTGTTTTTCTATTCTCTCTTACCTTTCAAAGCTGCTTGCTTCCCTTTTTTTCTTTTTTTTTCCTTTTTTTCTTCTTTTTGTGTGTGTGTGTGTGTTTGTGTTTTAATTTGAAAACCATTATTATTAATATTAATTAATACATATCTTATTCACTAATGAGATAAGCTTGACGATTCCTCCACCAAAGAGAATAATATTAGAAATTTTGGTGCTTTCTAGACGATGGAGAAAACTTGACATGCTAAAACTCTCTAGCTACGGAACACGCCAAGGGGGCTAAGATTAAGCTGAGCCCAGAAGAATATATATATATTTTGAATAGTCTATGATAAAAATTCAAGACAAGGCATAATGGGTTTTGTGCAATTTGACACTTGCAATTAAACAAAATTACTTGAGGCTAGTAGTGGGGTTATGTAGTGAGATATAGACAGAGAGCCAGTTGAATTGGGAAGGGTTGTGGTGGTGGTTGGCTGAGAATGGGACCTAATCTTTGCAATTACTCTCTTAAATCATTTTTTTGCCTGAAAGGTGGGTGGTGTAGTTATTGAATCAAAATGAATTCTCCAGGTCCAAGGGAACAAAACCCATGACCCTTATGACTTCATGAAAATGCACATGGGAGAAGTTTGGGTCTCAGTTTTGTATATGGACACATGAAGAGAGGCCAACTAGGGGCAGATGTTTTTAATAAGTAGCTTTGAGGGAGCAAGATTGCCTCAAAGCAAGGCAATGAATTCTCATACAAGACAAGATGATGAAAATTGCTCCAAATTACCACATAAAAAAAAGGGCACCGCACAGATGCACATGGTAAACTAATGGCATGAACAAAACAAAGGGCTTGGAGAATCCTTGTTTCAACGTCAACCTCTTTTTATCTTTTTTATCTGAGAAGGAGAGAGATAGAGAGAGGCAGACAAATAAAACGGAGATGGGAAAATTTTTCTTGCTATAGAGGGATGTCAGTGCTGGGGGTAGATGCGAAAATGGACGCATCTTGAAATTATACCAGAGAGAAATTAGAGGTGCATCAACATCCACGCAGGTCCACTTGCAAATTTACAGGGTCAGAAGAAGCAATCACCAATTTTGACTTGTGAGGTTAAATTATCATATACATGGCATCCTGCAATTTGAATAAATTTCAAATTAATTCCTAGTACACATTTGTCAGCTTTTAGCTTGAACCACTTCCAAAGTTTATCAGAAAACGATAGTGGAATTAGCAATCGTGTTCAATTTCTTAAATCGCAATCAATGCAGACCAAACAACCCGCTGTTTTTGGATCACACAGTATATAGTATAGCTATTTTTTCAAGGCAATATTTGGTCACTGAATTTTACATTAAAATTTAATTTGATTATTGAGAAAAAAATTTAGTCAAATTGATTACGTGTTTTCCCAAGTTTACAATTTATAAACATTCCGTTTTCTTCAGTTAAGTGTAGTTTTTATTTTTTAGACAATTTAAATATTTGTCTTCTTCCTTTATGTTATTATGGTTTAACAAATTGGGAGAAATATTTTGTTTAAATCAAAATTGTGAGGTATGAGAAAAATAAAATCAACAACTTACCAATATATTTTGGTTGGTGTTCTATCACCTTGATAATGTCTCATTTCCATCCAAAGTCACAATACGATTCTCACTCAATTGATTCAAGCTTCAATATAGCATCCAATCCGTGACCTTATACCTCACAATTTCGATTTCAACCCAAGATTTCCCCCAATTTGTTAAACCCTAATAACACAAATATACCCTAACTCGTTGAGTTAAAGGAATAAGATTGAATGCGTTTCGTATAAAATTAAAACAAAAACTGCACTTAGTGAAATGTCTATAAATTATGAACTTCTGAAAACACAATGATAATTTGGCTAAATTCTTTTCTCAATGACCAAATTGAATTTTCGTGCAAAATTCAGTGACCAAAAAGGTATTTAACCCCTTTTTTTATTGTCAATAAAAAAAATAAAGAGATGGTCTAAACTAGAGGGATACATATATAGATTGGTACATTTTGGCTTAACGAAAAGGTCAACACTGAATAGTGTTAGATCATGAGTGCATGTGTTAGTTCTAAAACAGACAGACTCGTACAAAAAAAGCAAACACATTTAGACCCCCATGATTCCTCATATCATAGCTACCAAGAATTGGGCAAAAAAAGAGAGAATGCAGTAGAAAATATTGAAAGGAAAGGACAAACTAAAAAGCTACATAGGCTCAATTTTATGCGACTTTCAATACGCAGGCCTCAATTTGTTTGACTTTGGAGCACCATTTGTTCTGGGGAGACGGGAAGTGTTCCCACGATTATACTGACCCCAATAAACAGGTGCCTGTTAACAGGAGAGCAAAGCCCAAAGCAAAGCCACGGCCGAGGCCGAATAAGAAAGAAACAAGTATATGACAACAAAACCTAAGTCGAAAGCCAACAGCTAGGCACAAAAGGCTGAAACCAGGGGACCTTAAACAGGCAACAAAATATTAGAAACACAAGCATGTTAGAGAAGAGAAGATGAAGTTAGGGGGCAATTTGTACAAGCATACTTGCGGCCCTTGCCTCTGAAAATGTAGTTGTTTAAACTGTATTTTAGACTACCTGAGCATCTGAAAATGTGACATTTTAAGTATTATGCAAACGAACTTACTAACAAAAACTAGAATCCAGATCAACTAAAACCATAGACAACTTCCCACAACCATGCATCAAGAGATTGCATAGTAAAAGGACAATTTATCAAATGAATGTCATCATTATGTCAAAGTTACTCAATCTGAAAGAGAATCAAATAAATAAAAACCAGTAGTTTTGAGTGCAAAGTAGGCCTTGCGAAGAGAAGGCACTAGACGATGGAAAAATCTAATTTTTCCGTAAGTTCAAAGTAACCACAGGAAGGTACAAGGCAGCAGGGTTGAAACCCAGTGAAGCAGCTGATACTAATAGTAATAGCTTCGATATTGAATTTACCATCATCAGACATATTTTAGTCTTTCTTGTTCCGGTGAAGCCCTTGCCTCTTTTTGGGCAAAGAGCAAATCTGCATCCCCAAACCAAAGCAAAATGAATACTTCCTCGCATTGACTGAAAATAAAACACAGAAAAGCAAATGTAACAATTACCTTTACAGGCGTTGACATGCCATTCATCCCTCTCACCTTCACAACCAACAGTATGTTTCATCATTTAATGTTTCGTAAAGGGTTTTCAGTACTTAGACCCTTCTCATCCTTTGTTCCGTATCTAAACGCAGTATCAGGAAAATTGTTTCAAGTGACAATTTAGCTCCTCAGAATAGTTGCTTCAGCTGATAATTTAGCCTTAAAATTAAGGTAAACATCCACCACTATGAGAGTCAGTCTTTAAGACTCTGTTTAATAAGGACGATCCAATTGCTTTAACATCTAAATTGGATGATCAATCGTTGAGATCATCCAACTCTATGAAATCACCCTCTACAATGGAAAGTAAATGCTCAGTTGCCAAATCATCAAGAAATATTGGATTACTACCACCAAGCACAGACGACGGGACCTGCACACCAGCCACGAGTCATGCAACAGAAAGCAGTCTAAATAATTTAGGGGAAATAAGATTATAATTAAAAACAGGAGAAGATTAAGCATGTAATATGACAGGATATCTAACATGTATATACTAGTATTACTCCAGTGCTAGAATCTCAAAAGCCACCTCGTCTTGCCAACATCAGACACTGACTAATACAATATTTTGGGACATGAAGTTTATAAATAACAACTGGACAATTTATAAGGATTAAACAATGACAGTTTTGAGATTGTTAAGACTCCAACCATAGGTTGATGCTGTTTTCATCTGTTTGGAATCATGTGGATATTTCTGACGGCAAACCTTCAATCATAAAACAAGCATCAGAAAAATGTCTGACGCTAAGAAAATTAATCACTCAACTTCAACTTTGGACAAGTTATACATATCAAGATACGAATTTCACAACTTTTTTCAAGCCATTTATTGACACCACCTATAACATAGGAAGCACCAATGATGAAATTTATTGAACATCCATTAGACCAAGCATGTAAACGATCCTTAGTAGTTGGGATATGACTCTGTTGTTGTTGAAAGATAGTTTATCAAGCATGTAAATGGTGATAGTAGCCAAATTTAAAGTAACAACAAGAGAGTTTGCTTAGAATACATTACCCGTACATTAGGCTGAAGTCTTGATATAGAAACTGGCCCATTCTTGACTCGGTCATTTATCTCACAGTCCAGTCTCATTGGAAAATTTAACATCTCATTCTTCCTATGCGCAGAATTGTCACCATGCACTTCAGTTTCAACAATATTGGGAGTATGAAATCCATCATGCTGAATTCCAATGTGACGAACTGTGCAAGCACTTTCTTCAGCACAAGAACTTACCCCATTATATGATAATCTATTTCCACGAGATCTGACAAATACTCGGCACAGGACAAAAGAAGCCTGCACAGACATAGGACATGTTACTCATGTGCACACACGCCATTATTTAGCACTGTGCGGTAATGACTAATGGGTGTATCAATTGTCTAGCATAAGGCACAATGCTTAATAACAATAGAGCTCCGCTAGACCATGTGGTTGAACATCATGAAGAATATATTTGCAACAGAGAGTTTCAATACCTACACTTCTCATTGTGTCTCAACAATGCAAACAAATTCTTCACCGTTACACAGCCTCTTCGGTTCTAATGAGGCAATTTCGAAAACTAATCTACAAAGCAAACAAACCTAAAATTCTTCACAACTCATCAGACATGGAAAATTATTCGTTCAAATCCAATATTCAGCAATGAAATAAATAAAAAAAATGAAAGTGACATTTTCTTAATTAATATTCAGCATATATGATATAAATCAACAACCAAATTAACCAACACGAAAAGCAAGTATTAATAATTTCGGTAAAAATCTCGAATATATTAATAATTTCGATAAAAATCTCGAATGACAATAAGTCAATGCTCATTGATCCAGATTAAATTTGAGAAAAAAACGAGAATTAAGGAAAAAAAAGTACCATTACATGATCGACCTGAGCATACTGATAGAGAACCCAATCAGTCCGTACAGCAGTGTTGGGCGAATTCCCCAAATAAAATACAAAGCTCGTCCTCCTCCCCAACACCGCTTTCCCTCCACGGCCCACCACGTCCCTATCCCTCCCTTTCCTCCTCCAATACCCGCTCTTCGCTCTCCTCTCCTTCAAAACCCTAACCGTGTAGCAAAACCAGTGCCTCTTCCTCCCCGCGTGACCGTACGAATAGCAAGCGCTGTCAGGTAAGTCAAATGGATCGTGATCGTACAAGTCGAGCTCTCTGATCAAATCGTAGCCCCCGGATTGGGCCGGGTCGGCGTCGTTCTTGTTCGAGAGGTAGCAGCAGAGGAGCTGCTCTTCGGAGGGGTAGAATCGGCAACCGGGAGGGAGCGAACGCAACGACGTCGCTTTAGGATCTCCCATGCGTAAATGGAGATCGTCAGCTTGTTTAGGTTTTTTCGGTTTTTTTTTCCGGTTCGGGCTGTGAGGTTTATGAATCTGGGACTGTGAAGGGGTTTATGAAAATGGGCTGTGAGGGGTTTATGAAGGCGAGGAGAGAGCGCAAGTAGCGTACCCTTGAAGCTTTCTCGTTACTCTTCGCCAGTGTGGTGATCGCCTACAACTCCGGTGTACGTGCTCCCGCCTATTTCAACCGTCAGATGGCGCCGCGTTTTCATTGAGGATTACGTGAACGTTGAAAGTGAAACGACTTGTCGTAAGCCGGGGTAGTCAACATTTTCGTTTGGGTTCGGATCTTGGAGTCGATGTCATAATTACATGCCTTAAAAAGAAACAAAAAAAACATTGAAAATTCCAAATACGAAGTTTAATTATTGGGTTGGGTCGGACTTGTACGAGGTGACATAATTTGTACGTCCGCCACGTGTTTGTCAAAATCCAGCAAGGTAGGAAAGAGCAAGTATTTTGGGAGGCTGAAAAGAAAAGTGATTCTTGGCTTTCGTAGTCAGTCAACTTGCCAATTGTTTACGAAGTAGGAAGTATTAAAATATTTAATTTATTAATACTAGCCTCTTTGCACGCGCGAGGCGCAAGAGGCATTATTTTAAAATTTTAAAATTTATTATAGAATTAAAAAAGATAATGGTCAGTTATGTTCCATAAAAAAGAGGATCCATTATCTAATTTTTCTTTTAATTTTAAATTTTTTTAATATGAAAAAGTGTGAATTTACCGTATTATCTTCATTTAATTAATAATTTCAATTCTTAATGTTTGCATTAATCAAGGGCATTT